TGTGAAGAAAATTTACACAACATTTCAATAGAGAATACTTAAGAACAAAAAAAAGAAGACGAAATAAAATTGGCAATGTCGTAATTGATGGTATGCGATTTCGAACTTTCACCGTGTGGTTTGCCCACAGCTATGTAAATTTTAAAAATATTTCTGGCTTATTTCAAGTCAAGAAATTTAAGAAGAAAAAAAAAAAATGTATCCTTTGAAGTTCAATAGCGTAGTAATCTTCTACCTACTTCCTCATCCAACCTGTAAGGGCTCCTCGCACTTCCTACACTCAAGGTTCAATTGTCACTCCTTTCATTTTCAGCGTGAGTGAAGCGTGTAGCGTGATCACTGTCGTTTCGAAACGCAAAACTTACCTCTCGATCGTATCAAAACAAAACAAACGACGAGTTGCCGCTGCCAATGCGCGCGCACCCAGTGGGCATGTACTGCAGAAACGGCACTATATTGCTGCAACAGTGCCCTTTCTGCTCTACGTGAGGAACTTAACCCCTGTCAAAAACACATAAAAAATGCGAATATAGTGCCCTGTCTGCACTACAGGATGTGTCTACATACACTAATGCGAAAACCGCAAAAAACTCAATTTCGAAAAAAATGTCGATTGTGCCCTTTCTGTAATAGCTGATTCACTTGTAGGTGAAATAAAGTCGTTTATGGCTTAGTGGCCCATTTTGGCGACGTTTATGTCCCCAATCTCATGCTAAATAGCAACTCCAAATCATTAGCGAGGTGTTGTCTCCATGAACTAAGGACGTGGGTGGAAGGATTAAGGGTGGTGAAGGACTCATAATTCAGTCCTCTGATGCTGTAGGGCTAAGCGTAATGTTCTACTCGCAGTAGAGGGTGTCCCAAACCACCCGTGCTAGGCTTTTCTCCGGTTATTTTTCAACCAATCAATATCATTTTATTTATTTTATTTTCATTTTTTTAATTTTATCATTCCATTCTATAAATCATTTTTTTTATCATTTTTTCCGGCAATAATCGACCACCAGGCATTAGAGTTTGACACTTGAAACTCTCAATTTTTCGATGTAGTCTTGGGGGTCCGTAATTTTGTCAAATTTTGAAGTTAATGCCGAAAAATTACGGGGGAGGCGTGGAATTGGAATTCTTAGGGGTCGATATCCTCTTCTCTTCCGTAATCTCCAACTGCATCTGACCTAAAATAACCGAGAAAAAAGCCTGGTGCAGGTGGCTTGGGACACCCTGTATCGCGTATAAAACATTATGCTTAGCCCTGTAGCGTGAAAGGCATAAAGGAGTCCTCCACCGCCTTTACTCCTCCTTTTCACGTCCTTTACAGATCATGGACGCAACATCCCACTGGTGACTTGAAGCGGCGAGGCAAGTTAATAATCGTGTTGCGGGGGAAAATCAAAACGCCTTCAATTTTGAGCACGCAACACAGCCAACTCTGGAGCGCGAATAGTTGCATCAAGACTTTACGATAAAAGATACGTCTTCGCTTGCGCTTATGTGTGTCCTGTGTCACTTAGAAAAAGTAATTAAGTCTGTCTTTTTTTATGAGATGATCTGTGTTCATTCATGCGCGGAAATCTAACGTCTAACTATTTTAAAACTATTGTCTAAAAATAAGCTTCCACCTTTAAGGCTGGATCATTAACTGGTTACGATTAACTCCTTGGAGTTTCTTTGTTTTATGATTTGTCCTCAGGTTTTAAATTTAATCTAATCTAAAGCTGAGTCAAACTCACGTCTGTTAAAACGTAAAAAACAAATCTTAAACTTCAAAAAAATAAAATGATGATCAATAAATAAAGTTCTCCTTATTGTGTTGAATTTATTTGGCACCGACGCAAATTTAAATTAAGGAGTCAATCATTGTTAAAAATCACCAAAGGAGTCTCTTCTACCAGTGGTATACAATTAATTACATGCATGATGCAATGGGGACTTGACAAGGTATGAATTATAACACTATGCAACATATTTTTAACTCAAAATTTCACGAGGAAAATAAATTACACTACGGGAAGTTTGAAAACCAACTCCCAAACAAGATATATGTGTTCATATTTGTAGATACCATTGAATAAACCGCGAACCTAAAACAAACGTCATTTTGTATAATCTAATCTCTAATCTGTCTGTGCTGAAAATACTTTTTAATCTTGCTCATGAATTGATTTCCAAACTTTCTACTGTGTGAATAATTCTCTACGTGAGATTTTGAAAATAAATATTTGATATTTTTTTACCATCTAGGACCTTATCCACTGGCTTATTCTCTTTCGATTCCTGAAAGATTCAAGTTTTGAATTTGAGAGTAAATTAGAAAAAGTTTATGCATTGAAGAAGGAAAAAAAAACCTTATGCACTCGCGGCCGTACATTCTTTGTCTACGATAATCGATTATCTGGGCATTGTAGGAGAAGTATTGAGACTCGGTTGGTGGACTTGAGTTACCCGTGCCGACTGCGATTCGATGGAATAAGGTCAATAACCAGGGTCAGTGATGTAGTTCTCGACGCTTTTTACCCACTCACCGGACAGTGGTCACTCCACACTTGCAATCAAATTATTGGAAAGCGTGTCGCATGTCGCGGCTCAAGTTGAAACTTCGGCGAAGTTGAAACTTCGGCGAAGTTGAAACTTCGGCGAAGTTGAAACTTCGGGTGGCAATCAGCGATCCCTCGATCATTTCTCATGAACCTCATTTGACTACGTTTTGCAATTTGGACCTATAAATTCTGGCTCATCTAAAAAAACACTTACGTGCATAGGGAAACTAATGGCACATACGTTGCTTTTAAACCGGGCAGGAATTTATAGGTCCAAATTGCATAATGCAGTCCATTTTAAACATAAATTTCTGGCCCATTTCTGATTTTCACTAGGTTTTAAGAGCCTCAAAAATAGCAAACGATGCATTGGAAATTAGTCACATGGGTTGAGAATACCTAGAAAATGTTGGAGATACATTCACGGAGTCTGTAAAACGCCCAAAAACCTCCACCTCCAGTGATATGAAAGCGGAAAGGAGTCTATTTTCCTCACGGAGTGGTTTACAGTGTATTACGGAGCAGAATCTACTCTTTTTGCGGAGTTACGCACGCTTTTATAGTGCTGATTTCGCTTCGTAGGTAATCATATTACTCCCGGTTTTTGGGTGCCGTATTGATTCAAGCATCGACGAAGTTCCCGCCTTGATTTTTCACAGTATAGAAAAAGTCAAGCGTTCTCTCCGATTATCTTCAGTATATAAAACGTTTTAAAAAACGGAAGGCTCAGAAATTAACTCCTAAACGAGTTTTTGACAAGCATACAGATTAAATCTTGTGTAACTTTCTACGAGACATAGGTCTTCCGGTTTTGAGGAGAATCAGGATTCTCTCATTCTACGTCTTTCGCATCTTACATGTTTAAAGTAGGTATGAGTGGAATTCATAGTGAACATACTCAAAGAAAATTTCGCTTTGATAGCTGCTGAGCTGGTTTTGAATGCGAACAGTCTCGCATAACACAACGCCCTACTTATCGAACAACGCCTTAAAATTTAATACCTACTATAGTTTGTTTTTTAACTTCTCAATGCAAATTGATCCCTCGTTCCTTCTATTCCCAGCTGCTGCTGTGTGATTTACTATGCACATTACTAGTAAAAACCAGGGTGGCATGGAACGTGAGAAAGAAATGAAATATTGGAAATTTCAGTGAGATATTTCATAAAATTTTACGAGGCTGTGAAATATTTCATATATTTCAGGGGTTTGATTATGCAACGCGCACTCAAACATTCGAAAATGGAAGAAAGTCACAATTTTTACATTTTGCGAAACATAAAAAGAGACCGGTACTTTTCAATATCTTTCATACATTTCTGGAATTTCATTAAATATTTCACGTAAAATTTCAAGATTTTATTTTTCAGGTAATTTTGCCATCCTGTTAAGAACTCTTCGATCCTGAGGTAGGGTGATGTTTGAAAACAGTGAAATAAACATAGCGCGTTGAGAGTATCAGCCAATTGAACGTATTTTACATAATTATCTTAATCATGGCTTGGGCCCTTAGGACCCGTAAAAATGCACGACAGAGCCCATGTCTGAATGGAGACAGCTTTTTTGATTGTCTTAAAAACGTTCAATTTCAAACCCGGAAATTACGACTTAGTGCTGAGCCCTAACCGTTCAGATCAAATGGAGCCATCTAATATGGCGGTAGTGCTGAGTCCTACCTGACAACTCTACTGCCGTGCTAAGGAAAAACGCCGTATAAATATTTGAGAGTTGCCAAATTTTCTATTAGGAAATGTTTGTTTTTGAAGAAAGTTATGAATATGCATGCCCCCTTGAAAATTTCAGACTATTTAGATCAAATTTAGAACTGAATTCTCTGAAAAATTGGAAGAAAAATATTTACAAATTTTCCCGGAAATTCGTGATTTTCCAGAAGAAATTTGGCAACGCCTGAAGGTTCATACAGCGTTCTTTCTTAGCACGACAGTCTAGAATCCAGTCCTACAGACTGTAGGTCTCAGCATTACTGCCATATCAGCCGGCTCCATTTGATCTAAACAGTTAGGGCTCAGCACAGCACTAAGTCATTTTTTCCGTGAAGAGGAAAGAAGGGAAGTGAAAAATTCAACAGGTGGTGTGTCGTTACCTAAACGTCCTCGATACACGCGAGGTGGTTAAGATTTCCGGAAATATAGTTCCTAATAGGTGAAATTTACGACCGCTTTGATAAATGTTCATTCATGAGTAATGATTTCAAGTGAATAACTTTTTTAAAAGCCGTGGAAGAAATTATTTCCTTTACTCCTTCCACACACACAGAGGTGTAAATGGCCTTAGATGCTAAAGCACCGCTTTAAAATAAACTTATCTTACTACTACTACTCCCTCTGGTACAGGTTTCCAAGCATAGACGTTTGGACAATTGGAAAGTTACTCTCTCTCTCTTGTTCTTCATTGAAAGAACAACCCTTATTTTACTAAGTTTTATGTTTGGTTTTATTTCAGAACGAAACAGTAAAAATGGATCTCAGGAGTTTGAAATGCACGGCAGAGATGCATGGCTTACAGATGAGAATGACTTTGAAAAAGTGGACTCTCCAAGTAACGTAAATTTTCCCCAAACTGATGGGCACGTCAAGTTTGAAGTACCAGGTGTTCCTGTTATATTTGTCCTCGGTGAGTTGATATTTCACACCAGTTTATAAGATCAATGTAATTTTTTTAGAAAAGAAAAAAAAACCAATGGTAATTATTTCGCTTTTATTTATGACGGATCGTGCAAAAATGAACTTACGTTCACGCGGGTAAACTTTTTAGAGCAGCATTTTATGTATAGATGAGCTGAAACATTGGATTTTGAGATATTGATACTCTACATTGGTGTCCGAAAATAATACTAGAAGTTTGCATTTTGTTTTCTTCATTTTCGTGCTAATAGAGGGTTCTTCGGTTGGTTTTTATTTTTTTTAAAATTAAATAGTTAAAAATTTAAATTTAAAATCTTAATATCTAATTTGAAAAATAGAATGAAATTGTGAATCAACCACTGTACTAATTGCGAGGGGCGTTGGTTCATTTGAAAGGTGTTGTTCTCAATGCTTCGGGAAAACTATAAATTATTTTCTGGGGTTCGTCCCCGATTTTTAAATCCCTAAAAACTCATAAATTGGATGAGGGGAAGTGGGGGTTTTTTGTTTTTTGTTTTTCGGAAAAGTTTTGTTGCTACGCATCTTACTTTACTGTTTGCTGTCTTTTTATCAGCTGTTTTCATTCAACAATCATCATTAAGTGAGGTTACTTCCAACACTCAACTGCCATCAACTTACATTTTTCTTTTCCCGCGTTTTTTTTTTTTACGGTTTTTCATGATTTTTTCCATCTTTTTCCTATTGCCAATTTTTCCTCATTAAGTCAATAACCTCCAAGTTTTTTTTCTCATTTCCCATCAGAACTTTTCACGCTGTTTCTTTTCAATGTGTATAAATATGTTTATTATTAATTTCCATTTTCATTTCATCCTTTTTCTTCTGATTTATTTTTTTTAATTTAAAAATTGAACTTTTCAGTTATGATTTTGTTAAAATAATAATAATTTTTACTAATTTTAATTTTAAATTTAACAGTTGTTATGAGTGAAATTTTCAATGACCGAGGCGGTCGTCCTCCAAAACGTGGTCGCGTTTTCCAGAATTCTTCGCATGTTCGTTTAGTGAAGCAAGAACTTAACTCTGTTATTAGTATAGAAAATCAAAGTTTCATTTCTTCATTTCGGAAGTATAAAATTGATGATCAGAACTTTGATGAAAATTTTGTTACCAAATTTTCAGTCGGTTCAATGAATATAATTTGTCATCATTTGATGCTCGCCATTTTCGGGGTGAAATGTCCATTGGTCATTTTAATAACTGCTGCCAAAATGGCTTAATTTCTTTACCGAGTATTCGGACAAATACCGATTTGAAATCATTATTTTTATATTCTCCAAATTTCATAAAGCATATCAGAAATTATAATAGTGCTGTTGCTTTTGCCTCTTTCTCTGCAAATCGAATTGATAATCCGGGTGGTGGACCTTATTGCTTTAAAGTTCAAGGATCCATATATAGGTAAGTTTATTTAATATTTACCGTTACGTAACGTACTTTTTTCAGTTTCTCAGTCCGTCCCTCCCTCCTGCCCACCCCTTAACGCATCCGGAATGCAGCTGCATTCCGGATGCACACGAAGACTTGGGAAAAACCATTTTTATCAAACAAGTTAAGCTAGGAACATACATGGGTAATAAACAACTGACTTATATGTGGAATAGTAAGATAACGAAACAAGAAAAAGATAACATACCAGCAAATACGGAAACCAGAAAGCAGACTGAACATGGAAAAAACGAAGAAGAAAAAGCGGAAAAATTAGATGAAGTTAAACAGGAGCAGAAAAAGAAGAAGAACCAGAAGGAACAGCTACTGAAGAAGAAAAAGAAGAAGCAAAAAAAGAAAAGACAAAAGGACGAAAGAAGAAGAGCAAAGTTGTAGGAAATATAGGAAGAAAAGCAGTACAGAAATGGCAAAAGAAGAATCAACAATTTAATCGAAAAAAAAAGCAAAGTATTTAAAAAATAAAAAAAGATCTTCTTTAAAATTAGTTTGAAAACAAATGTAAAACCTAAAAAATAATTTTGTATGAAGATTAAAACAAAATTTTAGTTTAAAGTTTACTAAATAAAATTACAATTTCTGAAAACATTTGTTATATTTATTCTCTCAAAGAAATAATTAGACCCGATTCAAAGACAAAACAGAAAATTAAATGAAAATAAATAAATAAAAAAAAAAAACATGTGAAAGTGAAAAGTGTACAGGAAAAATAAGGGGCTGCGAAGCAGCCCCATAAGCCCCTAGTCTTATTTTAATCACTATATCGTTATATTTTTTACAACTAAAAATTATCAATTTCATTTCGGTATAATATCCGGTTTTAATTGATCTCACTTTAGTATTTATCTTCTGAAGATTTAAATTGTTTAAACTCAAAATCTAAGTTAACATAAATTAATGAGACAAGTTTTGATCAAATCAATTTACTTAATAAAGCTAGATATTTAAAACATGATCGTATGTAAAAGCTAAAAATCTGTGACGAGGCGTTAATGAACGAATATCGATTTTTTCCTATTTGCAGCTGTGGTAAAAGATCAATTATTGAGAAGTTCGTTGCGAACACCCGGTTTATCGATCCTTTTTCATGGGGAGAGATCAATCGATTTACTGCAAGGCACGCCACGCCACTGCCAAAAACGTATTCATTTTAACTCTTAGACGATAATAATATTACAATTCTTATCCATCGGTAAATTTCGAGATTTTCAATTTATTTTTTATTGTTAAGTAACCCTGATACAAGCGGTAAAAGATTAAAATCTTTAGTTATGAATGTTATGATGCAGGATGTTGCATGCATTGCAGCAGAATTCCCGAAGAGAACTACACTCGGACCTAGAGTCCCTTTATACTGAGAGTCAAGACAATTTGAATCCATTCCTGATTGGTTCCCGTATTTTAGGCCTCCACAGTGTCACAAACGGGAATAAAGATTACATTTTCACCAATTGAAAAGATTATAATCTGGAATGGACCAGGGAATTACGGGTTCGGCAAGGAACAAACGGAATGAGAGGAGGAACGGAGAAAGGCATTTGAGAATGGGCCGATCAAAGATTACGAATAACGTTCAATTTCTGTAATCTTTATTCCCGTTTGTGACATCCATGAGCCGAATTGTCTTGACTCTCAGTATAAAGGGACTCTACTCGGACCTAGCGTGTAACAACTGTCGGATCCATTCACATCGAGAGTATTTAGAGACCCAAACGCCGGCTATGGGATTGATTTAATTCGAGCTTTTTATAGAGAAGCGCGCTTCCCGAAACGAATACGTGGGAGGTGGGATCTTTCGATAAAATATGCAGGATAATCAAGGTTTTTAGGTCAGTCCTCGATAGTATTTCTGCAGTGCGCTACACGGAAGATTGGCTATCTGCGATTGAATGTTCTCCAAGCAGCACACGCATTCAATCATAGTCGTGTTTTGTTCGGAGGCAACACTCGCAACATGTTGTGAAAACAAGCAACAACCGCATTTTGTTCGAAGTTGTTTTGTGTTGTGGGGGCGGGGCTTATTTTTGCGCGCAAAATTTGGGAACCAGGCAGAATTATTGTACATAACTGCAACGTGCTCTTAGCAAGTCGTTCTTATGTTGTTCAAAAAAGCAACGCTGTTTTCTAACTTAAAATTGGAAGTTGCTCTCTCACTGGTTGTTCAGAATCGCAAAAAAAGACAAGAAAAAAACTGAAACATTTTGTTGTTTCGAATAAAACACGTCTCATCATACTCATTACACATTTATGGCTAAGCTGCAAATGTGTATCTTTCACTGAAAGGTGGTAAATATTTCTTCCTGTTTTATTTTTTTAAAAGGACACCAACCATTAGTATTTCTTGATCTTTCTCACAAATTTTCTTTACTCGTCCACATATTTTCACAGAACATTTTAATGAGTCATTTTGAGTACTTTCTTTTTAATCTTGTGGCTGAAAAACTTTTCGAGTAAGTTTTAAAAAAGATAGAAAAGATGAACATCGGCAGTTGCCGCAAAAGGCGATTCAATTGTGAAACGAAATGATATTCGAAACCAAAAAGCGCCTTCAATTTTGAAGATACTTCTACCCTCACTTGGGAGTTAAAATAGTTGCTCATGCCCCTTCCATTTAAAGTGAAGAGTTTGTATATACACTTTGAGGAAGTCCGACCTCAAGAAACTTTCAAAGGGTGGCTTGATTATTTTAAGTGAACGAATCATTCCGCATTTTAGTACTGGTCCTTATTATTCCAAAAATAATATGTCGGGCTAAATCATACCGGAAGTTAGAAAATGTCTCATCTTTTTAACCTATCCTCCAAAAAGAGCTATATCCAAAAAGTTTGTAGCTTCTTCATTAAAATGACACTCTGGCTCTGGTTTAGGTAGTTTTGTATTTTCTCGCTCTTTTGGCAATTTCCCTCAATAAAAGTTAATGCTACCAGCTCAATTCTGATATTTTCAAACTACGACGTATAGAGCATCTCCATCTCCAGTTGAAATAATAAAATACTGTTAAGTGCAAAATGTTATTAAACCCCGGCCTGCTAAACAAGCACCTGCAATTTTAACATTATCGCAATTTTTTTGTATTCGGTGATTCAGTTTAATTTTCTAGTTGTAATTGGACCGCGTTAAACAGAAAGGAACCAAGCCACATTAGGTATGGCCAAATTTAATCGGGCAATTTTATTTTTTACATGAAAACGGTTGTGCAGATTTTTATGCAAACTTTGCCGAATTTTCTACTTAGTACGAAACAAATTTCTAAAACTTTTCAAAGGAATCCGCACAAATGTCCTCTTGTAAAAAATTAAATTTCCCACTTAAATTTGCCAATACTCACGTGGCTTGGTTTCTCATGACTCCTTTTAATCGCAATAATAAGTACTATTTGGAACCACCTGTCGTCCGTCATGAGATTTTACATCAAATTTGTAGACACGTGCAAAAAGAAAACCCAATTTAGGATATGAGCAAAGCATCGATTTGAAGCAGAGCGAAGGGGGATGACGGCTCAACATGAAGGGCCGGCCATGAGTG